CCATAAAGATTAAAAGAAAAAAAAAAAAAAACCCCAAACTCCTTACCCTCTAGTCAATTCCAACTCATAGCAACCCTTTAGGACAGAGTAGAACTACCCCATAGGGTTTCCAAGGAGCGGCTGGTGGATTTCGTTAGCAGCCTGGGCTCTTAACCACTGTACCACCTGGGCTCCCCATAAAGATTACAGCCAAAAAACCCTCTGGGGCACTTCTGTTCTTGTCACATTGCATCATCACAAGTCAGGATCTACTCAACAGCAATGAGTTTGGTTTTTGGTTTGCTGTTCATCTTGATTCAGTTGGCAAAGATAAATATACGTTTCCAGAAGTATGGCGGCACACAATTCAGAATCACAGAGGACAGATATTGCTGCTTTCGTTACATTTCAGGTGGTCTGAATAACAGTGAAATGCTGGAATTCCAGACAGAGGTAGCAAAACCAAAATGTCAAAGACTTGCATACATGCTAATGAGAATCATCCCATGTCCAAGGATGCATGTCAATCACATTTTTGTTTTTACTAAAACATCATCAGCAATTATAGTTTCTGATTAATACTTGTTATTGTTTTGTTAATAGAATGGTTTGTTTTTATATTTTTTAAGAAATGTCAAAACATGTAAGATCACGTGTGATCATAGAAATGTGGCATAAAGGTGCCATAGAAATATTATTATAAATCAGATCACAAGACCCTGCTACCACCTTATGACAAACTATCCAAGTTAGTAGCAGGAGTAGTATATTTTAAAAGGCCAAAACTGTAAACTGAAATAAGTGCGGTGATATATCGTACCTTCCTTCTTAAGTTACCTATATTGAAATGTCGTTGTTGTGTGCCTTTGAGCTAAATCTGTCTCAAAGAGACTCTGTATGACAGGGGAGAACTGCTCTGTGGGGTTTCCTAGGCTGTACTCTGTTTAGGAGCAGATCACCAGCTATTTTCACTTACGGAGCCCCTGGGTGGGTTTGAACGGCCAACTTTTGGGTTAGCAGATGAATGCTTAAACATTGTGCCACCAGGGCTCCTTATATTGAAAAAATTATAAATACATATATTTTTTAATCTAGAAGAGTAGGGCTTAATAATCACTTCAAAATATCAAATCAATTCACACTATCTTCTGAAATTCAGAAGGTATTTCTGACTCTGAATAAATAAAAGCAAAGCATGGACTACTTAAAAATAAAATATGGCCATGAAATTGGATTTAAATGCCACGATTAAATTTTAAAAATGTGTTCCTCTTAATTCAAGGTTAAAGGTTTACCTCCAGAATAGTTTCTTTGACTATAGTGACCATCCAGGTCATTATAACTGGCAGTACATCATGTGGATACATAATGTGATGTTACCAGAAAATCTGGGAATCGTATATGGAAGATACCCACTCCCTCACAATAATGGAAATATAATTGAAAAAGAACATTACAGAAGAACCTATTTGTTCTCTCAATCTATGAGAACATTTTTTATATGGGAATTATATATGAAATAATCTGTCATTTTTTTAATCTATACAAGAAAAATCTAAAATTTCCTCTTGATCTTCTCAGAGTACAAAACAGTATACTCTCAGTGTTGTATTCTTATTGATACTGAGTTTTTTAAACTATAAATCTATAAGCTATTACCAATCCCAAGTCATGGGGGAAAACCTTTTATAAGAATTAGAAAGTAAAAGTTGATTCTGATGACCCAGATCAAAAAATAAACCCGGTACAAGGAACAATGCCTTTTGATGAAAATATAACTCACATAGAAAGCTTTAGGGGTCAAGAAATGATAAAAACAATCAACTTTTTAAATGTTATTTAAGCATACTGAGTTTCAAAGCATGTGGTATTTTCAGCTGTAACAATCTCTTTGAGCAGACATATCAGAAAGTCAAAATAGCTTCTATGGGCTCATGTAATTAACAAGCTCAAGAAGTACAATAATGTCAGATTTTAATTCAGTTCAAGAGAATAATTTGTACTGTCCTATAGCTTTTACTGAGACTTGCATCTTTTTGGAGTGCTTGTGTTAATATTTACTTTCTACTTGAAAGCTATGCATCAGCCCTACACACCTTCATAAATTTCTATAGCTAATCCAATTATCATTTCAATTAAGCCTTCTTCACTTGCAAAAGCAAGCAAATATTTTAATGTGCCAGCAGAAATTACAGGTGTGGCAAGGTGTTGCTTGACGATTGGGTAATTGTTGGAGAGTTTCCAGAATCTTTACAACCACAAAACCAGTTTTAGATAAAATTCATGATCAGACTGCTGTAAAGCTTGGCAATTAGTAAAATAATCTCAAAGTGGGGATATTCTCTAATTTTTACTCCCCATCTTATGCCAGTAAGATCTTTCAAATAAGTAATGTATCATTTCTGGTACACAGCAAATTAGTTCAGGATGCAAGAGACCTCAGAAGTCAGCAATTTTAATGATTTTCAAACTTTTTTTTGGCAAAGAAACCCTCTTTTATTTTTCTCCCCTAATGAAAGTTTACATGGAATGCCAAACATGATGGAGACTGAAGAGGAGCATCTTAGGTTGAAGGAAGAGGCCAAGTACAAAGCCAAAGATGAGTCTTTGCTTTCACTGCCATTTTGGTTCCACAATAGAACTTTGTATGTGTGGTATTACACTAAGAAGAAGGAAGGAAAGAAGGAAGATAGATGACAGATAGACAGATAGACAGATAGATAGGTACAACTGAGGAATATAGCACATTCGGGCTGGAGTGGAGTGGGCAGAGGGTGGGTACTGAAGAAGAATACCTGTCAAATTGACACCATTGCTGGAGTTTTTAACTCGTAATGGTTAGTGATTGATAGAACAACTAGACAAAAATCAGTAAGGACATAGAAAATCTGAACAGCAATATTATCCTAATTGTCCTAATTGACAGTTACAGACTATTCTAAGCAAATAAAAGTACCTTCCTAGACCTTTTTTTCCCTCATTCGTCCCTGAAATGTTAATATCACCCTTAGGGGTGATGTCATCTCATTGAGAATGCATACCCTAGGCTAATGAATATGTTAGGTGAAATGGATGCATTAAAAAAAAAAATTTTAAGACTACTGATTCAAGAAGAAACAGAAAATCTGTATAGTTTTATATCTAGTTTTTAATTGGATTTGTATTTTTAAAAGCTTTGCTACAAAATGAAAGGCCGGTCCTAGATTTTTTCACTGGTGAATTCTTTCAGACATTTAAGGAAGAGTAAGAACCACTCTTGGAGCCCTGGTGGCACAGTGATTAAGAGCTACAGTGAGCTACAGCTGCTAACCAAAAAGTTGGCAGTTCAAATCCACCAGCCGCTCTTCGGAAACCCTATGGGGCAGTTCTACTCTGTCCTATAGGGTAGCTATGATTTGGAATTGACTCAATAGCAACGGGTGGAAGAACCAATCTTACAGGAATTCTTTCAGAACATAGAGGAGGAAATAGTGTTTCCCAAATGATTTTATGAAGTCAGTATACTTTTATATCAAAACCTGAAGAGTATTTTAAATAATAGAAGTCAATCCCTAAAAACACAAAATCTCCAATAAAATGTATTAAATGAAACCCAACAATATAGACAAATTTTAATTAATCATGACCAAGTGAGGCTCATCCTGGAAACGCAATGATAATATAGCATTTGAAAACAATCAATATAATTTACCACATTAAAATAATAAGGGAAAAAAGTTACATGCTCTTCCCAATAGATGCATTAAAAGCGTTTGGCAAAATTCAATACCCGTTTATGCATAAACTGTCAGCAAACTAGGAATAGAAAGGACTTCCTCAATATGATATAAGCTTTCTATGAAAAATCTTCAGTTCACATCATATTTGTTGGTGAAATATTAAATACTTTCCTCCTAAGATCCAGAACAAGGCAATTATATTCAATATTGTACTGGAGGTGCTACAGTGTACTAACTAAGAAATGGGGGACAAGTAGGATTCATACCAGGTATGCAAGGATGGTTTAACATTAGAAAATCCATCAACGTAATACACCACATAAATAA